CCGGCTCTGCACGCAGCCATCGCATTAATGCTGACTGCATCCCCTCCCTGTGACCATCTGTCAATTACTAATTTGTCCTTCTTTAACCCTTTACCCTTTTCTCCCAGCCCCCCACCCCCTCCCCTCGGGCCATACCGGATTGTCCTTTGTATTTAGTCTGTTTTCGCTTAGTTTGTTCTTTTCATTTGTTAGATCCCACATATCAGTAAAATCACGTGGTGCTTATCTTTCTCTGACTTACGTCACTCAGCATAATAACCTCTAGGTCCATCCATATCGTTGCGAATGGAAGGATTTTATTATTTTATGGTTGAGTAATATTCCTATCCTTAACCATTTGGTTCCCTGTCTCGTTCTCTTTATCACTAATCAGTACAGAGTTGCTTCCTACTTCATTGCTTATGTGTTTATTGTCCACTTTATCCCATGAGATGCAAGTTTCTTGAGGGCCATGGCTCTGTCTTGTCACCGTGGAATTCCCGTCTCCTAGAACAGCATCTCGTTCACTGCCGACACTCAATAAGCATCTGCTGTGTAATAGCGGCCTTAGCCATCCTGGGGAAGCAAACCGAGTTCATGGCGCCCAGAGTGAGTGTGGAACAGGTGGCCTTGGCCATGCCACTGACCCCGATCTATTCCCAGCGTTCTTAGCGGACCCGTTCTGCAAAGTCTCTGCCCTGCGTGTGGCAATGGGTGAGGCCACAGCTCTCAATACTCTACTGTCATTTTTAATGAGCCATCAGATGCCTGGCCCAAATCAAAAGAGGAAATGAATGGGGATGTGATGGGAATGATGGGCCTTGTTCCAGGGGTCCCTAACTGTGACCGCAGCTCCGACTCTTAGTGCTGTTAAGAGCCCTGCGTCCAATATCTGCAAGGACCAGGACCAAGGGTTTCCCCAAACCCCGAGCTCCAGGTTCTCCCTGGTCTGTGGTAAGCGGAGCTCGCTGGGGAGGCCAGGCTTCCCTGTGCCCTGCTATGTCTGTGCCCTGCTTGTAGAGTCACCGGGCAGAACACTGAGCTGAGCTGTTCCAGCAACCTCCCTCCAGCTTGGGCCAGGCAGTGGACCATCGGACCATGTGTATCACACACACACACACACACCACGCACCTCCCACACCAGCCCCTGGATGTCCCAGGCAGTGGCACTGGGCTCAGAATTGGCCATCTCCCGCCCCCTGCCGATGTGCCACAGCCTGGACCTGGAGCTGGGGTGTAACTGGCTTCAGAGGCTGAACTGCTTCTGACATTTCAATCCAGCGGCCTGGGCCTGAAGCACACACTCTTGACATTTACATGTTTATTTACTTGTTTGACAAGTGGTTTTTAGGGGAAGGTGGGTGGAGGGGAGGGGCCTACTGGAACTGTGGTTATGTGTGTGTCTTACGGACACAAAATATAGTTAAAATTCAGGTTCCCTAAGTGCACCAAATATATCCTGGATTGGATCCTAGAACAGAAAAAGGACATTTAGTGGAAAAACTGGTGAAATCCGAATACAGTCTAGAGTTTAGTTAATAGTAACGTACCAGTGTTAATCTCTTAGTTTTGACAAATGTACCACCATTGTGTAAGATGCTAACATCAAGAGAAGGTGGGTGTGGGGTGTATGGGAACACCCCATACTATCTTAGCAACTCTTCTGTAAATCTAAAATTATTTCTCCAAAAAAGTTTATTTAAAAAAAAAAATCAGTCCCAAAGTTTTATGACCCAATAGAACATATCGATTTGAAGATTTAATTAGCACATCCATTATTCAGTTCAATTTTTATATTTTATTATACAACATACATACATGCAGTAAGGTACACAAATCTTTGTGTACAGCTCATTGAATTTTTGCATGCGGTGCACCCTCCTGACCTGACCAGCACCAGAGCAAACATTGGAATGTTCCCAGCACCCAGAAGCCTCCTTCCAGCCCCTTCCCAGTGAACAGCATCTCCTCCCCAGAAATGGCCACTATCTTGACCTGTATACCAGACTGGTTTGGCCCGTTCTTGAACTTCATTTAAATAGTGTCATAAAGTATGTAGTCTTTTGAGTCTAGCTTCTTTTTCTCGACATCACACCTGAAAATCAGCCATGCTCTTGTGTATAGAGGTAGTTCATTCTTTGATTATTGGGTAATAGTCCATTGCATGAATAGTCCCCAATTTAGTTATTCATTCTATTTTCGATTGATACTTGGGTTGTTTCCAGTTTGAGACTCTTACAAATGAAGTTGCTGTAAACAGTTTCATACATGTCTTTGGCAGCTTATGCACGCATGTCTCTTGGATGTGTACTTCCGACAGGAATCGCTGGATCCTAGAGTATTTGCATGTTCGGTTTGAGAAACCTGGCAGCTTTCCAAAGTGTTCGTACCAGTTACACTTCCTCCAGAAACGTGTGAGAGTTTCGGTTGCGTCAGATCCTTGTCAACACTTGCTGCTGTCAATCTTTTTAATTTTAGTCATTCTAGTGGGCACCTCATGATTTTAATTTGCATTTCCCTGATGACCCTGTGTTTAGCAGCTCCTAGGAGATCTTCTTAAACAGTGAAGTGCCTGTTCAAGTTTTTTGCCTCTTCTTATTGGATGGTTGGTCTTTTTCTTATTGATTTGTAGATGCTCTTTATATATTCTGGATACAAGTCCATTGTCAGATATATGTATAGTAAATACCTTCTCCCCACCTATGGCTTTTCTTTTCCTCTTACTGGTGTCTTAGTGGTGTCTTTCAAAGATTAGGTTAGTTCAGCTTTAACCAAATCAACTGTTGCTTATTTTTTTCATTCAAATCAGATGACTTTGGCATTTGCATAAATTCGGAACTAGAAGAAATTTTAGAGATCATTTGTGCCAGTGGTTCTTGAGTCTTATGTTCAGTAGAATAACTTGAGGAGCTTTTCAAAAAATACCCGTGCTTAGGTCCCACCACCAGAGATTATGAATCACTTGGCCAGGGGCGGTGCCCAGGGAATAGTATGATTTTAAAAGCTCCCCGGGGAATTTTAACAAGTGGTTAGAATTGAAACCTAATTGAGAGAGTCTAAGAGAGTGACGTTCTGCTTGGCAGTGGCCTAATGCCCTAGCCAATCCTGCCTCATCTCAGGATGCTTAACAGTTTATTGAGTCTTCCGGGGTGGTTAGTGGAGACCAGCCCCCAGCACGATCCTTAGAGCCTTCCTCTATTAAACCTCTCAGTTCGTCCAGGACAGTCCCGGTCAGTGCCTGTTGTCTTGGTGAAACCCTTCCTTTTATTCTCAGAAGTGTCCCGATTAGGATAGCATGCTACAGGGCTGCCCTGTCTTGAGCGTGTGCTGTCCCTGGCCTACACGCCTCTGTCCTCAGCCTCCTGACTCAGCCGGCTACACTTGTGGGGTCTGGAAGACACCCGGTAGGCATCCCCAGAGCAGAGGAGCCCAGCTTTCCATGCTAGCAACGACCAGGCCCTAATTCCTCATCCTTCCAGCTGGATCTACTGAACCCCACACAGAGAAGCTGCACCCAGATAAGGGGCCAGTTCCGGAGACCACACTCAGACCCAAAGCCACACCTTCAACACCCGACACCTCGAAAATTCCATTTAACCACTGCCTTGCCACAGAGAGGCGGCTCAGCCTCAACAGCCCACGGCTGTTGTCATTGATCCTCTGTCATTAAACTGCCCGACTGACCCGATCAGTAGGACAGCTGATTAGAGGGGTTCTGATCGGTGGCAGGGAGCAAGCCCATTCTTCCACAGGAACACATGACAAAGGCCCATAAAGATCCCAGAGGTCACAGAGGTGTCAGCCTCCTTCATTCAGGCCGAGCCCTTTCTCAAGGTGTCACCCTCAGGACAACTGAGGAGCAGCCTTCTCTCCGCTCTTTCTACATGGCAAGAACTACCTGGTGACATACCTGTCACCACAAAAACTGAGTGCCCCAGAGCAGCTCCGTGGCAGAGACACATCCAGTGGCTCCAGCCCTGCTGCCCGCTCCGTCATTCAGAATTATCTGATTCATCGAAATTTCCTTCCTACCTTTACCCACATCGCCTATGCAAAAATAACTGATTCTGACGGTAGTGGGTTGAATGCTGTTTCCCCAAAACTATATCCGTGCACTAATCCCCAGAATCTGTGAATGTGACATTATTTGAAAAAGAGTCTTTGCAGATGTAACTATGTGAAGGATCACCCTGGATTAGCCAGGTGTGCCCTAAATCCAATGACAAGTGTCCCGATTAAGGGACAGAAGAAGAGGAGAAAGGCATCATACTATCAAAGGCATTAAGTGATAAAGCCAGGAGCCAAGGAACGCTTGGTTCACCCAGAGCTAGAAGAGCCTCAGAGGTAGCACAGCCTTTCAGACACCTTGATTTCAGACATCCAGCCCCCAGAACAGTGAGAGAATAAATTTTGGTTGTTTAAGCCATCGAGTTTGTGGTATTTTGTTATGGCAGCCTTGGGAAACTGACCCAATGACTTAAATTAGCTTGATTTTCCTAGACCCCACCTTACCTCCCTGCAAAGCTGTTCCCCACATTATCTGCCATGAAGCATTATCTAGGACAGACACACACACACACACACACACACACACACACACACACACACGCACATACACACCCTCAGCGCATTTACATCTTTGTCTCAGCCTTTCCCAGGAGACGCAATGAGCTTTTCCCAAGAAGAAATGGGATGTACTAGATAATTCATCAGGGCCTCACAGAAGCTTGGGGCTGGGGGAGCAGGCAGGCTGAGCCCTGCAGAGCTCTCTGCCCTTGCCCCGTCCAGGGGCTCTGGGTAGCCAGGTTCCTTCGGTTTCTGGGCCAAAAATAGAATTCTAAGATGAAACAACAAAGGAGAACAAGAGCCCAGAGGCAGACCTCCTGCGTTCAATGATGGGAATCAAGAGCTGCCTGCGAAGTTCAGAGGCAAACGCATTAGACTCTCAGTTGGGGGGGGGGGAAAAGCAAATAGCGGGGCTTTGGGCCAGCGGGAGCTCTCTTGGGCAGCACGCGGCAGGCTCACCGAGAGGAGAATTCAGCTGGGAAGGCTTGTTTCAGGGTGAACATCAGGAAGACGATCTCCTCGTAGTTATCCGATTCATACAGACACCCAAACTGGGGTGAGCCGTCAAGGCCGGTGCCCAGGCTCTGGAGGTCTGAGTAGGCGCAGCTGCCCCTGGCCAGCAGGGTGGGCTGGGACCAGGCCTCGGGGGCCGGGGGCCGTGTGTTGAGGTAGGCACCCAGGTTGGACCTCTGCTGGGGGTCAGTGGGGTGAGTGTAGAGTAGCCACGTGCCCGAGGATTCTGACTCCCCGCTGGGGCTGGGGAAGCTGACGACACTCCCGTGGCAGCCGTGGGGAGGCTCCACAAGCTTCTGCACTGGTTGGATCCCCCCGAAATCTAGCCCGTCGTTGGTGCTCTCGGCCTGGACCCTGGCATGGAGGGAGCTTCTAGCGTTCAGGTACACCACCCTCTGTTTGGCACCCCCCACCTCAGCCACTTGGCACTCCAGGGTGTCCTGGGTCACGAAGCTGCCTCTTTCCCACGTGAGCCCGTGGTCGTGGCTGATGAAGCAGAAAGAGAAGGGGCAAGGCTGCTGGTGGCCTTGGAGGTTCCGATAGGCGTAGGCCGGCACCACCAGGCTCTGCGTCCTATTGTGCAACTGCAGACAGTGGCCCGGGCCCACCGCGAAAGTGGCCCATTCCTTGTAGGCCGGGCCAATGGCTGAGCTCGTGAGGTCTCTGGCGGGGCTCCAGGACCTCCCGTGGTCGGTGCTGGTGACTTGGCACAGCAGCGTCACATTGACCCTGCTGTGGAGCTGGTGGTGTTCAGAGATCTGACTGGGGATGGCAATGAAGAAGAGGAAGAGGATCCCCGTCTTCTCGTCATACACGGGGCTGGGGTTCATGGACCGGTGGCCTTCCAGTTGGGCTTGGGCTACCTCCTCTTGAGCATGCCACTGAATGCGAGGGGAGAGGGAGAAGGAGAAGCACTGCCTTGAAATGACCAGCGACAGTGGCGGGCGCTGCATTCTGGGTAGGGGAGGGTGTCTCATGGGGTGAGGATCAAAGGTCATCCGGGAGAGCTGATAACCCAGCACTCACTCACCCTTATAAACCCGCCCTTCCAGAGCTGTGGGATGCGGGCCTCCACCTCACTCCCTCCAAGGCAGCCCACTCCTCTTGCATGGCCATTGCCTCTGTTCCCACCGACAAATGCTACAGAGCACCTCCAGATGCAGAGGTGATTCAGGCACGAGCCATTCCCAGCTTCACCCTGGTTCCCACAACTCTCGATCCCGGTCCAACTCCCGTTCTTGAAAGATAAAGCCCTACTAGTAATTACAACAGTCTGACCAATGTGGGACGGAATATGACAATCACCTCCCACCTTTTATATATCATACTCTATTAATGTAGCTTAGGCGGGGGCAGCATCATGACACTAAGGATATGTTGCAGCTCTGACTTCAACCCTCATTCATTAACAGCTACCCCCAAGGTAGACATTGCGTCAAGAGCCTAACATTCATTGTCTCATCTACCCTAACCCCTAACTCCTGGGGGACAGGTGTTATCGGCTCCATCTTACATCTGGAGAAAGAGAGGCTTAGACAGGGTAGATGAACTCCTCAAGGCCGTACCTCTCGTAAGTGACAGAACCAAGACTTGAACCCAGGTCCATCTGCTTCAAATCCCATGCTCTGAACGGCTACTATGTAATAATGCCACAAAGTAATGATAATAATATTAAAACCCTTTATATGTGATAAACCAATCTTGGGCGTCTTTGTCAAAATTAATTACTTGATCTACGTGCTGGAACTCCAGGACGCAAGTAATCACTGAGACCTACCCTGTCCCCCACTCCCCAGGTTAATTTTACTCAAAGGATACAAGCCCCCGGTTCCGTGATGCTAACTAGTCCTCCCTCAAGTTCTCAACGACGTAGGGAAACCTTTCTGAACATCAGTTTCCCTGACCGACTGTTCAGGCGTGCAGTAAAGCCAATGCAGCCAGGCCCGCTGGACCTGTTCGCAGTGAATCCACGTGCTATCTGGGTCATCACTTGGGGGCGCCTTCTCTGCCCCACCCGTGATAGGTCCCTGGGTCGCTCTGGGGTTCCTATGTATGTTTTCCCTCTGTTCCCTAGACCCCAGCCATCTAAGGATGGTGTGGTTCCCGTATCCCCAGTGGAGCTCGTGCAGCCTCATCTTGCCTTACCTGGACCTGCTGGGTAGACGCATCGTAGCTTCCTCTGCGTAGGATGATCAGCTCTGCGTGCTCATCCTTCTTGCTCGTCCGCTTTTCTGCGAAGGCCAGCAGAGTCTTCTGCTGTGGCAGGTAGAGCAGAGCCGGGATTCTGTAGGCGTGGGCTCCCGACTGGAACACCCTCTCCTTCTGCAGGACGGAGCAGGACGCCATGGGGCCTGGGGGAGGAAGAGAAGACAAATCCCTTCAGTCACATCCTGAGAGCCAACCGAGCGAGCCAACCAAGGCCGGGGTGGCCTGTCCTCTTCCCACTTGGGGCTCATCCGTTTTCATCACATTTCCAGACCCTGTCTACCAGTTCTGCACGGCCTCCCGTGGAGTCTGGCGGTACCCTGTCCATGAGCCATCTGGGAAGGGGTATTTGGAAAAAGCGTATTTTGGTTGGATTTTTCTTATAAGTTAACAAACCTCGTTAAGACAAATTTGTGATACCCTTCAACTGCTTTCGCCAAACCTAACACATCGATCACGTGCTAAACCTTGGATAGGAGGAGGGCGCTTGCCAAGTGGCGTGTTCTACAGCTGTCCAACTGCCAGAAAATGACACATGGGAGCTTTTTATAACTCTAGAGCCCTAGAAAGTTGCCTGAGGAAAAAAAGAAAAAGAAGGAAAAAGCCTTCTTCTCCAGGCTCTCCTTCCCAGGCTGCCTGAGGCTAAGTTCCCAGCTGCCCCCATCTGCACGAGCCACCCGTGGGGAAGGGAGGGGGGGGTGTCTGGACGGGAAGAGAAAGAAGCTCCAGAGAGCTCACCTGGGCTGGGGGGAGGGGTCCTCCAGAGGTACAAGAAAATAGAAATTAAAAATAAGTTTTTGGCCGAAAAGGGTAGAGAAGGCCAGAGGTGACTTGGTGACCACGTATGACAGTGGCCTCTGTGCTGGTGTCACCGAGAGTGGGGATCCCCTCTTGGCGCGTTGTCCAGGCTCTTGATGTCTCGAATGAAGAATTGAGCAAGACACCGAAATACAGCAGAAACGCAAAGCTTTATTAGAAGGGAAAGGAAAGCAACAGTATAGTTCCAGACGTGGAAGCGGCCCGGGCCAGAGAAGAACGGTTCGAAGGCCCAGGAACAAAGACTTTGGGGTTTTTATCCCATATGCTGTGGGCGGTCACTTTTCTTAGAGGAGCGGGCTTCCTTGATTGACAACTACGATCGACAGGACTCAGTGATTCGTCATTTGCTTTCTGTGCATGTTCGGTCCCAGAATTCAGTCTGTTACGATGATATTAAGGAACTTCAAGGCATATGCATCATATTATAATGAAGATATAATGAGATTCAGGGAAATTGAAGGTACTTGGGCCATTTATTGCGCAGGTGCGAGTGACTGGCTGAAACTAGTACCTAATTTTCTGCTCACATGTTTCTTTCGATGAGTTACTTTTAACCTAAAAATGCCTTCTGACTCGCTCAACTGGGGGCGGGCTGGGCAGACCCTTTCTAGAAGAAGATGACCTCAGTGACTCCGCAGACGGACCCGAGACCTCCTAACTAACTTTCCTGCCTAACTCTTTTCTAAGAGCCATGAGCCCCCTTATTTTATTAGTATGGATGTTGAGGGACGGGAGGTCTCTTCTTCTGTATCTGCATCCTGCTGAGAAGGATTATAGGTAGTCCCTGCCTACTGGGGTTTCATGGAGCTCTTTCTCTTCCTGCCTCAGTCAGGGTGGGGTCTTGGGTTTCCT